AGACCATGGCCTCGGATTTGGAGGAACTGATTCTCATCCCGGCTGCGTCACACTCAGCTCCGAACCGCTCCAGCAAAAGCTGTAGATCACGACCTGATGAAGCCAATAGGACCACATCATCTGCAAAAAGCAGAGACGTGATCCTAAGGCCACCAAAACGGATCCCCTCAACACCTTGGCTGCGCCTAGAAATTCTGTCCATAAAAGTTGTGAACAGAATCAGTGACAAAGGGCAACCTTGGTGGAGTCCAACTCTCATTGGGAACGAGCCCAACTTACTACCGGGAATGCGGACCATGCTCTGACACCGGTCATACAGGGACCTAACAGCCTGTATCAAAGGGCCTGGTGCCATTTACTCCCAAAGTACCCCCCACAGGGTTCCCCGAGGGACACGGTCGAACGCCTTCTCCAAGTCTACAAAACACATATAGACTGGTTGGGCAAACTCCCATGCACCCTCCAGGACCCTGCTGAGGGTGTACAGCTGGTCCAGTGTTCCAGGACCAGGACGAAAACCGCACTGCTCCTTCTTAATCTGAATTTCGACTATCCGATGGACCCTCCTCTCCAGAACCCCTGAACAGACCTTACCAGGGAGGCTTAAGAGCGTAATCCTCCTGTAGTTGGAACACACTCTGCAGTCCCTCTTTTTGAATAGGGGGACCACCACCCCAGTCTGCCACTCCAGGGGAACTGTTCCCGATGTCTGTGCAATATTGCAGAGTCACGTAAGCCAACACAACCCCACAACATCCAGAACCTTAAGGAACTCCGGGCAAATCTCATCCACTCCTGGGGCCCTGCCACCAAGAAACTTTTTAACCACCTCGGTGACCTCAGCACCAGAGATTGGAGAGCCCAACCCAAAGTCCCCAGGCTCCGCTTCCTCAGTGGAAGATGTGCCGATGGGACTGAAGTGGTCTTTGAAGTACTCTGTTCACCGATCCACGACATCCTGAGTTAAGGTCAGCAGCACACCACCTCCACTATAAACAGTGTTGGTGATGTACAACATCCCTCACCGCCGGTGTCCACCACCTGGTTCAAGGGTTGCCGCCTCAACAGGCATTGGTGCTCATATCCAGCCATCATTGTGTGAGAAGCGGGGGACACCCTTGACAGGTCTTCAGTCCATCACAGGGACACCTGAACAGGTCTCCAATCCATCACAGGGACACATAGAGTCAAACAAAACAGCTGTACCAACTGCGCTACTGCCCTACCACAGCTATTCGATATTTCTTATGTGAAAAATTGAGTTTAACTCAGTCAGTTTTCAAGTTATCAAAGGCATTTTTTGTGTGTTAGTAGCTGAACACTATCCTCAATATATACTGTAGGTGCCACGTATTGACGCAACATCTTTACTTTAAATTTTGACTTTAACTTTTGGCATCAACCTTGTTTGTCTGTTAGCAAAATATTTCATGAACCACTGGCTGGAAATGAATACAACTTTCAGGAAGTAATCAATAGATGTACGACTACAACTGTTAAACTTTTGGACATAATTCAGTTTAAGATGGCCGCCACAGCCAATATAAATCAGCAAACACATAAATGGCTTTTACTCAGTCAGTTAAAAATATGTTTAGCTGAACTACTCAACGCAGAGTGGTAGTAGCTGACATCAGTCACAACACAGAGTCTGACAGCCAGTACGTATGGTGAGACTGGTCAGTTTCAAAGGTTTCACCAAAACAGCTGTAACTCTGTCCCTTCTCATGATAAGATGATCGTGGTGTGTAAAACTGTGGCAGCGGGAGTTATGCATTATTTCAAGGAAGGTTTGATCTTAAATTACCGATAATACTGTTGATTGCTACAGCTGTGGTTTCATCATCTGCATGTTTGGCTTGTCATTCTCAGTAAAGATGGCTCATGTGGACTGGGTCAGGTGCCATCTGATGGAAGGCTGCAGTTTCAGTCACTTTTCTTTCCTTCGGTTTACTCATTCTAAATCCAGTTGGACTCTAAATCCAGTTGGACTCATCCACAACATAAGTTTTTGTGTTACATGAAAGACAAAAAGAAAAACCACCTGTCCTAAATGTTCACGTTGTTGTAGTCGCTGTTTTTAACGTTTTATTTCTGTCATGCTCGTGTTTGTATTTATGGCCGTGCCAACACTCCTCTCCCTCCAGGTGGTAGCCAGTGACGGGGTGCGGGCTATGATGGAGTCGGCCCTGACAGCCAGAGACCGGGTGGGTGTGCAGGATTTTGTCCTGCTGGAGAACTTCACCAGTGAAGCTGCCTTCATAGAGAACCTGCGCAAACGCTTCAAGGAGAATCTGATCTATGTGAGTTTCTCTGATCACATTTATAACAAGTTTACATTTTTATCCTCTGAACATGTGAAGGTTTCTGTAAATGTGGTTATTGTAGAAATGTGATGTATAATTTTCATCTAATCTGACAGTTATGTTACTTTTTGTCAGACTTACATTGGATCGGTGCTGGTGTCAGCTAACCCATACAAAGACCTGGAGATCTACACCAAAAACCACATGGAGCGCTACCGTGGGGTCAACTTCTACGAGGTCTCTCCACACATGTAAGTGCTCAGCCTGCGCTCACCTCACAGATGCACCTTACATTTCTTGTTTGTTAAATAGTTTGTTTCATTCCCACTGAAAGGCAGACCGTAACCATAGGACCACCAAAAGACCCTAATGTTTGTCCAGTTTATAAACTGGTGTTATATATCTCCACACTTTGGTTGTGTCTGTACAGCATGACATGAACGATTCTGTTGGGTATTACATTTGATCAAAGCAACAGATTCATGACATTTCAGCCATGTGGTAGTTTCATATTGAGCCAACACTGACTGCACTAGGGCTGAATGATTTTGGAAAATATTCTAATTGTGATTTTTTTCCTCAATATTGTGATTTAATCTGTGATTATTTTTCAATGTCTTCTTCTTGTGTATTTTTCATCCAACACAATCAATAAATCTGTTTCAGTTGCAAGAAACTCCACTGTTTTCAGCTCAGCTGCAACTCTGTTTCTGCATTTTATTATTTTTTTAATAGCTCCGGAATAGCAACTTGTCTAACATGTGTGCACGAGGGCGTTCTGTACCGATTATCCATTGTGTTTACCAAAGACATAAACCCAGGCTTGTCTTTCGCTATGAACTCTGTTATTGCTCGAGTTATTTCCACGTGTCGTTTTGAATTATGTTCACACGGAGTAAAACCTTTGAACAGTTCGGTCAGTGATCCTGTCGACTGCTACTTTGCTTACTTGAAGTTCAAGCACTGGTTGTTGACATTCTAGTCAAGCAACTATTGTAAATGGCTTTGTGGTGTTTTTTAAGTGTTGACAAAGATTTGTGGAGTTACCTCAAGGGGTAGCAGCAGCAGCAAGGCAGGTTCTGCACAATACATGTTGCTCAGCGTCTTCTTCTTATTTATAGCCAAAATAATTCCAAACAACGGACGTGCTGTTCCTCTTTGGAACCAAACTTTCAGATGCATCAGCTTCTGTTGAGTCTGACGTCACTGTGCAACTGGTTAAAGTGCAGAGTTGACTTCTCCTGCTCTCTGATCTGCTTTACTCTGATCCGCTCACTCACAAGTCATGCAACCAGCTCACGTGACCAATCAAATCACAGCGTTTGCGATTAGAAAATCTTGTTTTATCATATTGCAGAATTATTGCAAATGCAATTAATAGTTCAGCCCTAGACTGCACCAGCTGTGGTGGACAGTTTAGTTTCAGGTAACTTTTGCTTCTCAACCAAGGATGGGACACTATTTTCTCCAAAAGGCCACATCCAGAACTAGGACTGGGCTGAACAAACGGGTTGAACTCAGATCTACCAAATGTGTATTTTACAAGTTTCTAATGTAAGGCTTTGTAGTCATTTTAACATCTGGATTTGCTGCCCCTCATATGTGAGGTATCACAAAAGCAGTCTGGACTGCTCCATCCCTGAATGTTCCAGTCTTGGTAAAAAAAAAAAGAAGAAGAAGCCTCGTTTACAGTTTGGGCAGTGAATCTTCCAATGTGTATTTTCTGTGTTTAGTCTGTTGTTAAGGATCACGACAGATCAGCAGCATCAGAGTTCTGTTTTTCACAAACTAATCTCATTGCTTTTCCACTCATTTTAGTAAATAAACACCTTAAAGTCCATGTTTTGTTACAAACTACATTCTCCAGCACATTTTTTTTTTTACTGTGATAGGAACTCAAATCTGTCACATGCTCCACTACCTGTGGAGAGACTCTGCTGCAGTGCGCACACAAGAGGCTGCGGACATAAACACCCACTTGCCTTCAAAATAAAAGCTAGTTTAAAAATACTGAGATTTGGGGATTTTGTGCAGAATGATTTGTATCTGATATAAGGCTGGGCAATATGAGGAAAATCTAATAATCCAATATTATTTTGATATATCACAATACATGATATATGTATCACAATATTTCTAAATAACCTCTAGTGTCATTTTAAACTATGTAGTATGTAAAATGGTGCTGGTGTACTTTATTCTAACAGACCATTCATGTTTTTTTGAATTTTAATACAAAATCAGAATCAATTTACTTAGTGTCATCTGCTCCACAGCTAGTTTATTAGACGTTTTCTTTGGTGTGTGGGGAGACACTGACATACAGAGTTTACAACATTTTTCATTCTGCAGTGGATGACTTCTTAGGTGGTGAAATACATTTGTGGTACTGCTACCTTTTGTGACAGTGGTTTTACGACACGTTTTGCAAATTACCACATTTTGTTCAATTCTCCTCATAAAATCCAAACCACTGCCAGATTATTGACCCAGTTCTGTTTCTCTTCAGAACGAGTTTGTCTGGCTCCTCTTCAGTTACCATCTCATTCACCCTCTGCCAGATTATTGACCCAGTTCTGTTTCTCTTCAGAACTAGTTCGTCTGACTCCTCATCAGTTACCATCTCATTCACCCGCTCACCTGAAACTCCTGCTGTCGCCATATTTTTTTCCTATCTTGAAGTCTATGTGCACATGTTCCGTGCAGCATGAAAGTTACAGGTTGGGGAGGGGGCAGGGATTAGTGATGCATTCATAGCGTGTCGGATAAACAACACTCACAGTGAATTAAATGCAGAAAACTTATTATTAGAATGGCAGTTTGTACGCGATGGTTATGATGGAGCCATTTTAACCATCGTAAACTGAAAAACTCGTGATGCATTGAGTACAGTAGTTCCTCACTTCGTTTTTCATGGATTCGCTATATTGCGGTTTTTCAAAGTAAGATTGGACATGACACAATTGGCTGATTGATGGATGAGCCATGGACTGTTTACATAAAATTAATTATTTTACATGATTTTGCACCAACTCTGGTTTCCTCCCACACACCAAAAAAACATGCACATTAGACTGATTGGTAACTCTAAATTGTCCCTAGGTGAGAGTGAGAGAGTCAATGGTTGTTTGTCTCGTTTGTCTCTATGTGTCCCTGTGATGGACTTGCGACCCGTCCAGGGTGTCCCCAACCCCTCGCACAGTGATTGCTGGACATGGACATCGGCGACCCCCGTGACCCAAAATGGAACAAGCGGGTAAAGATAATGGATGGATGGATGGATGGATGGATGGATGGATTTGGCACCATATGTGCAGCTCACAAGTTAAGGGGAAAGCTCCCTCCTGCAGCTGATCAGCTGATCTCCTTCTCTGCCATGCACATTTCTCCTGCAGCAGCTTTGTGAAGGGTTAACCCTTTGCTGTCCAGATGCACCGATTGATTTTTGTCTTCCAGCGTAAAATTCAAAGTATGTCACATTGTAAAATCGTCATCATCACAAAATATGAAAGTGTTAAAAATTATTTTTAATTATTTTAAAACTTCTATGTTCAGTTGTTCCAGTGTAATTGATCAAGAAGAACATGTCTGCTCCGTGCTGCAGAGCTGAAGCTGTGTGACATCCCTTTGGTGTCCTGCTGCACTTCTCTTCTCTGCAATTTACAATTTAAATACTGTAACACTTTAAATAAATAATCCATGGATTGTTTATTTAAAGTGTTACAGTATTTAAATTTAAATTGTTTATTTAAGGAGGGAGACTGGGAGTAACAGGAGATGAGTGTGATCACAGCCTGGCACATGTCATGACAACGTTTACTGAACTTGAACTTGGACTACTGTATCTCTACTTTGTGGTTTTCACTTATCATGGGTGGGCGTGGTCCCAAACAACCGTGATAAACGAGGGACTGCCGTATATTCGATACATCGTCCGGTCTTAATCTGATATCTGATGTTCGTGACCTCCTGCAGGCCTGATGGAGACAGCTCAAATAAGATAGATAAGTGTCCCACCTCCTCCCACAATGCTCGCATGGGAATATTTGCTCTCCCCGTCAACCTAACAGAGTCGGCCAATGACATAATGCTCATAAGGTCTGCGTTCTCTTCACGAGTCAAGCCGTCTGTGAGGAAGAGGTTATGGCCGCAGGCCGAGTGTTTGTTTGAACGGTTGCCACAGGAGTGGTCAGGGAATTCCCTGGTAAATCCTCTCAGGCTGGAACAATCCGACACATTGTGAGGAGTCAGAGGCCTCACTTAAATGTTTCATAATCTTTTACTTCTTCCTCTGCTCCAACCACTGGAGGCTTAATTCACCTCACACTCGCGCTGCACTTGAGCTGTGGCCACATGTTTTCCTTCGCTGAGAGGAAGGAGGGACGGGCCCGAGCAAACACAAGAGTGAGGCCGAGCAGAGAAGACGAGAGGAAAAGTAAGCAAAGATGGTACCAGGCGAGAAGATTCCTCCCACGAGAGGGGATTCCTCTAACCTGAACCTGACCCCCTCCCTCCCCATCACACACAAACAGCC